TATATTTTATGAATTTAGAAAATCATAATTAAAACAATAGTGAACCCATATTATAAAATTTTAGCTCTTCAAATTTTTATAGCGAACCTTCAAACTTTAATTAATAATTATTTTGGTTTTAATCCAAAGAAGCAACAGAGATATTAATAATACTAGCAAGCCAATGTCAAATTATATTTAAATGTGTCAGTGGAAAAGGAGCAAAAAAATATTAGAATACTGATATTAAAGAATAGCTTCCTGTCTTTAAAAATGAGCGAAATGCATTTGTATATAAAATAAAAGTATACTATTTATTATCATAAATAATTTAGAATTGTTAAAATGATTTATTAAGAAAACTTGAAAAACATTTATAAATCAATTTGATAGGAGATTAGAAAGAGATGAACTTTTTTTTTTTTGGAAGAAATAATGTTACTATATAAACATAAAATCCAATAATGGATATATTAAATCCTTACATTCATTAAGATTTCATAGATACATTGACTGAACTGCTAGAATTAAGAAATTAAGTTAATAATACTAATCATTATTAATCACGTAAAAAGAATTTATATAATATTAATAATCATAAGCATTTCGTATGTTGGGCATTCATTTCTGCTTGGTAAATAGAAATTAGAGAACATTTAAAGTAATTATAAGAGAAATTACCAACTGATAATTAGGTTTTTCTAACATAAGGATAGAAATCTTAGGAGCTTATATAATTGAAAAGTAAATCAGATGAAATTTGGAGAAAAAAAAAACAAGAAGTTGAATAACTTGAAGATATAAATTAATTAATTATGAAATATTAACAATAGTCCAATGAGAAAATACATGATATAATAAAAATGTTTGAATAAAGAAGTCTATAGAATAATTATTGATTCTATTATATTTTAGAATTATATTGGAATAGTTTTTATATTCAATTTTTTAATTCAAAATATACGTATTTTAACAGAAAATTATAAAATAAGAATCAATTCAGCAAAAACTTATATTAGCTAGAGATATCAATTTGATATTACATTTAATATACTATTCATCATTTATATTATAATTCAATATTGTTATTATTACTAAAATTTACATATTATGTTAGATCCTAATTTGTTTGTTGATTAGATTATCCATCAATTAAAGCTCCTGTTGATGGTGATACAAATAAAAATGAGTGAAGAAATGATATAAGGAATCTATTTTAATATCATTTTATTACCCAACTCCTATATAAGTGAATATGGAATCTCCACAAAACATATACAAAATAAGAACATTCACTAAATTATGTTAAGTATCTTACATAAAAACAATACAACCTTTTTTTTATCTGTTGATAGGAAACCAAAATTAGGAATATAATCTAATAGATCATCATTTTTTAAAGCAATATACCAACTAAGAATAATATAATATTTATACAAGGCAATACTTAATCCTACACTAATTAAGAATACTAAATTTGTTAATCCACCCAAAACAACTATAGCAATTGTAAATTAGGAATAAGTGGCACCAAATTTAGAGAAATTTTCAGATAATCTAGTAGTAATTTAATCACTTTTTGGAAGTGCATAACTTGTACTGTCAAAGACCTTTTAATCACTACTTTATATTTAATAAGTACATTTAAGGTTTTTGAAGGACTTAATTGACTTAATTCATTATAAATATTTATAATTAATAAATTGTTATAAGGAAATAATGATCAAATTAGATTTTTCTGATTAAGATCAATTCTTTTCTTTATATTATCAAATTTAGATATATTAAACTTTTCTTTTTTCTTTTACTCTGTATGTTTAAAAATAAAATCATCTAATTCATCTAAAGTAATGGATATCTAAAGATGTAATTCATTATATTACTTCATTATTATCATCATTCATAATGTTGTTAAATTCAGTAACAATGATACATTATTTAATCTAAAGCTCTTTAAGTTTCATTTTTTCTTATGAAATTTATGTTTCCAATTAATCATCAGATATTTTCTCATTGATTTTCTTTAGACATGATTTTAAAGGGAGAGTTTGTAATTTTGGTAAATCATTTTAATGTTTTGAGTTTTAAATTATCAAATTATTTCCTGCCATTTTTAACAATTTCTCATCTTGTAACTTTTTCCATTATATAATACTATAATATTGTTGGTTCATTTCTAATTAAGGAAAATCTTGAGTATCATTATCTGAAGATATTAATTCTGCTTATTCTTATTCATATTATTTATTTTTTAGAGATATTTATCTTATTTGACTTCTTTTATTTTTCTACATGTATTCATTAGGTGACTTATTAATAGTGTGAATCACATTTCTATCAAAGCAAAATTAAACATTTTTAAGCTTCTAAACATCTTGGCTTGGTTTTTTCAAATTGACTTGTATTGTTAGTCTTACTCATTATTTTTTAGATCTAATATAATTCTTATTATATTACAATTTTTATATATGATATATATGAAAAAACTCAGTTTTGAAAGTGTTTATATAATTGCTCCTAATAAATCAATTATTCTATTTAAAATCCAGCTCCTGAATATTTTTTGCCTAATATCTATTTTAAGTCTTTGTACATCTATATAATATATGTAATAAGAATATACTTCTTAAGAACTTTATTTATTTTCAATTGAACTCAAAATTCTATTGTAAGCAATTTTAAATAAATCCTATGGAATTTATTACAAGATACTATTTTTTAAGTTTTCTATCATTGAAATTTTAGGCTTGAACTTCTCATCAGTTTTGTAAAAGCTGGATGAATAAGAAGATTCAGGTTCTTCTTATATTTCTAAATAATACTAAAATTACTAGGTTACCTGCTAAAGTTTCATTTGCACTTTTAGCTTTTGCTAATTCATTTTTATAAACTTCTACAACATTTTATAAATCTTAATCAGATTATCTTTATGTCAATCTAGTTCCATCCATTTCATCACCTAGTATTTCTTCATTAATAACTGTTTCATTTTAAAATTCATTATCAGAATCATAATCTTCAAAATCATCATAATACTCAAAATCTTCAGGATATTCATCATTTTGATAATCCATAGTTTATTATTTAAATGATTATTCCTTTTTTTAAGCTTATTTTTATTTTAAATTTAATAAGCTTTTCTTCATAACTTCTTCATCAATAGGTTTAAATTTAGAAGAAGATTATAAGCTTTAATCAAAATTATTATTCTATTATTATAATTATTTAATTTATTATTATTATTATTAATTTTTTTATAAAGGTGATTCTATTTGTTATTACTTTTAATAAAATTATTATTATGTTGTAGTTTGTTATATTTCTAATTGTTTTTATTGATAAAATTGTGATTAAGTACCATAAAGATTTTAAATTTTTCTTAATTCAGCCTCTTTTTAGTTTTATTGACTAATATTTTAAGCTGCTTTGGATAACATATCAATTTTTTATTAGGTTTCTTATTCTTTTTTTAATTTTAATATAGATTTTGGAGATATTTATTTTGGTTCTGATTCAAAAAACTACGATCCCTAACTCATAATAGTTTCACCAATAGTATATTTACTTGCATTATCAATCTACTCTATTTATTTTAAAAAATCTTACTTTTATTTAATGATTATGATATAACAGTCTAATTAATAATTTCATCATCCTTATCTTTATATATTTCATCTTTAATAGAATGTTCATATGATTCTTAATCTTATTTATGTTGATTTATCTGATTTTATTATATTTAATGTTAATTATGAGCCTATATTTCATGTTATTTAATTTTTTTGACTCCAACAACTGAACAAAAGTTTTATTTGCCTCCACTTCTAATAAAATCTTACATAACAGATTAAATAAATGGCATATTAATAATTTCAGCAACTAGAGGACGTGATTATACTTATTTAGTAAGAAGTCTATGTATTAATTATTGTAAATCCTTTGAATAATGAGAAGGTAGAGTTTCAGTTTATCCATTTAAAATTTTAGTTACAAGACTTAAAATATTCTTAGCATCAAAAGCATGTTTGAAAGTACATAATTCATGTAAAACACATCCAAGAGCCCAAACATCAGATTTAAAAGTATATGGTTTATTTTCACAAACTTCTGGACTATTATCAGAAATACTTCAATACCTCATATAATAAGGAGTACCAGCAACAGTTGATGCTTAATCTATAGTACTTTCTAATACTTTAGAAACACCAAAATCTCCAAGTTTAACTAAGAATAACAATATAATTTAATACCTGTTCCATTTGAAGTAAGAAATATGTTACTTGTTTTAATATCTCTATGTAAGATCTTTTTAGAATGGATGAATTAGAGAGCAAATAATTATTGAATAAACCAATTCAAAATCATTTTCTCAGGAAAGTATTGGATTTATTTACCTTACTTTCTTTTTTTTATGTGATATTGTAAATCTCCTTCTAAACAATTTATAAAATTATATAATTTACCTTCGCAATATTCCATTAATATTATCAATTAACTACTATCTGCAAAACTTCCCATGTATTACACTATATTAGGATGATCAAGACTTTTTAAAAGTTCTGCTTCTCTCAAAGCACTTATTTTCTCTTTCTCTGAGAGCTTCCCTAAATGAACTTTTTTAGCCACTGATAATTGACCAGTCTTTTTATTCTTAACCAAATAAGCAGATCCTATTGAAAATGGAATATCATGATACCATAACTTCCACTTCCTATGGTCTCTAATTCTTCATAGAGATCTGAGTATTTTAGAGACATAAAAATAAATATTAATGATAAATGAAAATAGAAAAATTAGAAATTTTTTGATTGAAAATTAATTAGTTTATTCTTTTTTTCTAAACTTTCCCAAATTTTTTATTTGCATCATTGTAAATAATATCTAATACAATTGATTATAGTATAGTAAAGTTGTTGCTATATGAAAAATTGATTTAATTACAATACTACTCAATACTACTCTAAAAGANTAATTTCAGCAACTAGAGGACGTGATTATACTTATTTAGTAAGAAGTCTATGTATTAATTATTGTAAATCCTTTGAATAATGAGAAGGTAGAGTTTCAGTTTATCCATTTAAAATTTTAGTTACAAGACTTAAAATATTCTTAGCATCAAAAGCATGTTTGAAAGTACATAATTCATGTAAAACACATCCAAGAGCCCAAACATCAGATTTAAAAGTATATGGTTTATTTTCACAAACTTCTGGACTATTATCAGAAATACTTCAATACCTCATATAATAAGGAGTACCAGCAACAGTTGATGCTTAATCTATAGTACTTTCTAATACTTTAGAAACACCAAAATCTCCAAGTTTAACTAAGAATAACAATATAATTTAATACCTGTTCCATTTGAAGTAAGAAATATGTTACTTGTTTTAATATCTCTATGTAAGATCTTTTTAGAATGGATGAATTAGAGAGCAAATAATTATTGAATAAACCAATTCAAAATCATTTTCTCAGGAAAGTATTGGATTTATTTACCTTACTTTCTTTTTTTTATGTGATATTGTAAATCTCCTTCTAAACAATTTATAAAATTATATAATTTACCTTCGCAATATTCCATTAATATTATCAATTAACTACTATCTGCAAAACTTCCCATGTATTACACTATATTAGGATGATCAAGACTTTTTAAAAGTTCTGCTTCTCTCAAAGCACTTATTTTCTCTTTCTCTGAGAGCTTCCCTAAATGAACTTTTTTAGCCACTGATAATTGACCAGTCTTTTTATTCTTAACCAAATAAGCAGATCCTATTGAAAATGGAATATCATGATACCATAACTTCCACTTCCTATGGTCTCTAATTCTTCATAGAGATCTGAGTATTTTAGAGACATAAAAATAAATATTAATGATAAATGAAAATAGAAAAATTAGAAATTTTTTGATTGAAAATTAATTAGTTTATTCTTTTTTTCTAAACTTTCCCAAATTTTTTATTTGCATCATTGTAAATAATATCTAATACAATTGATTATAGTATAGTAAAGTTGTTGCTATATGAAAAATTGATTTAATTACAATACTACTCAATACTACTCTAAAAGATATATAATCAATAAAATAGATTAGTCTCTATATTTAAATCAAATTATAGTAAAATAATCAACTTGTAATCTATCATTTATACAATATACAATAAGATTTCTTCCACTTTCTTTTTCATTTAATCTTAAAATGAAATAATTTTTATATTAATTTACTAAAGAGAATATAAAAACAAAAATTCAAATTTACTTTCACTTTCAATAATTAAATCTAAATACTCTTTTTTCTTTGAATAATATCATTCTATATATCTTTGATTAGATTTTAACCAACTTTTATATGTTTCAACTTAACTGATTATTATTTTGAGATATTGATTTTAATCAAAAAAATACTATTGGTTATTTTTTAAGTAGAATTTTTAATTTAATAATTAGTAACATTATTGGAAGGAAATACTTAAGTAAATTCATAGCTTTAATTAATTTTATACAATCAATTAAATTTGAAGAAACTTTGACTATCCAAATTTATGAAGTATAAGAATTAATATACCTCCAAAAAATATAATTAAATTATGCAAAAATAAACTTAGTTGACCAAGTTTTTCTCAAAGAAAGCATAAGAATAGTAGTAATCCCCTATAAGAACCAAATTCAATTCAGATGTAAGGTTATTAGTATATATTTTACTAGTTATTCTTTTGTACTCCTCCTACATAAGAAATTTAATGTAAGACAGAAAATTACAGTAATAAAAAGAAGGGTTCAAATAATTTAGATAATTGGATTAGGAAATCTTCCTTGTAACAAAAGAAGTGGTATTTTTATATTACTATATAAATAAAGGCCATTTTTACCAAAAAATTTGATCTATTAGATTTACAAATTTTTGCAATTAAGAGAGTGCGCTACATGTTCTTAAGTATGCAAATTTTGGATGATTTGTTATAATGATATCTATTTTTCATATAGTTTTTTCAGGGAGTTCGAGACATCAAGGTAATTCTTATATTTTAATAGTTTAAGATTTAATGAAAAGGAACTTGCTACTGTATTGAAACGATCAAGTAAACAATTAAAGCACATTAAGAAAGTACGAGAAATGATTAAAGGATAAAAAATCAGTTCATTTTTAGAGAAAACAGAATTAAGAACAATGTTATCTGATAATTCATAACAATAAGGATCATTATTGGAATTATTTAAACTTGAACCAAAAAAACAATATACATCAGTATTTTTAACAGATAAAGATTTAAATAGCATTTGTACAGAGAGTTAGTAATAATTTTTTATTTAATTATTTTAGTAAATCACTCTAATATATATAATTAATAAGTTGTCAATTTATGACTGGAAAAGGATTTGAAATAATTGGTAAATGTACTCAATTAAGTTTAATAAATATCTAAAACAATAGTAATTTGAAGGATGAAAATATTAATGTTATTTTAGAATAAGTATAAGGTCTCAAAACCTTAATGATATTAAAATGTGATGGATTAACTAATAATATTTTTGAAATAATAGGAAATACTTGTAAAAAGCTTGAAAGGCTTGATATTGGATAGAATCCTTAGTTGGATTTAATCAAAGTAATTAAAATGATTATTTAATCTTTTTTAGTGTAGTTCTTTGAAGAATATTGGAACTTTGCAATCATTTTCAATCAAAGATAATATTGTAACTAATGAAGCTTTAGAAATAATCATTAGTAGTCTCTTTAAATTGCATAGTTTGAATTTAGAAGGTTGCTAAGAAATAAATACTTATTCTCTTTTGTAAATTTAGAAATTGCATTTGTAAAGAATAAATTTGAAAAAAATATCATTTAAAGAGGAGGGTATTATTTAATTATAATATGATAGACATCTATAATTTTATTCTTAATGCAAAGAGTATTAAATTAATGCTTGTGAATAATAATTTATTGAGTACTCGTGTTGAAAAGATTATCCTATCTAGATAATGATTGTTAGATATTACTCTTTTAGTTGTTTATTATATTATTTCAATATTTTATTTAATTGTACAAATGATCGAACCACCTTAAGGTCCTATTCCAAGAGAAGTAGCAAAATGGTTAGATTCATTAGATCTAGCATATTAGGTTCGTAATTTGAGGAGAGATTTAGCAAATGGGTATGATTATATTCTATAGTAGTTTCATCATTGCTGAAATATTATCTAGGTACTACCCTAAAGAAGTTAATATCTACACTGTATATAATGAATAAAATCTGGATAAAAAGCGTGATAATTGGGAATAAATTTCAAAGTTATTGAAGAAAAAAGAACTTCAAGTTCCATAAGAAGAATATGAACCAATTTATTATTAAGCTCCAGATGCAGCATAAGCATTACTCTTTAAACTTTTTGAATTCTTAACTAAAAAGAAAATAGGCACCATATATCCTGATAAAGACAATAGAGATATGAAGAAGCAAGTTAAATAATAAGCAACTTTATAAAGAACTAAACCTATGACTGTTTAACCTACATATGCAAGACCAACAGCAAATACAATTATTAAAGACAGAGAAATTACTAGAATTGTTGATGAAAATGAGAGGAAAATGTTAACTAAAGTAGCTATTGAAGAACATGTTGAAAAAGTCAGAAATGATAAGAAAGATGATAATATTATTGAATATCTTATTCTTAAACGCAAAAAATAAATAGAAGAAGAAATTAAAAAGCAAGAGGAAGAATTACTTAAAAAGTAAATGAAATTTAATAAAAAACTTGTTAATTTAGATTAATCAATCTCTTAAACAGGTTAAGATGTCAAAGAAATTTAAATTAATTGCTATCATAGTAGTACTAGTAAAAAAGCAAAAGAATAGTAAGGTTAATTGTTAGAGACTAAAGGTGTAATTGATTTCTTACATGAAGCATGTGCTTCATTATTTAAAAAAGATCCCATAAAAAAGGATATCTAAGATTTAAAACTTGAACCAAAAGAATCTTAATAAAATAATGGATTTTAAGTTAGTAATCAGAATGTTCAATATACAGCTGTTATCTAATAACTCTTTTTAAGATGTGATGAAGTTTAAAAAAAGTCATTAAAACTATTACTAACTTAATTTATAGATGTTCATTCATAATTAATCTTAGAATAAGTACAGAGTAATTTTATAGGTATTCTATTTATGTTATAATATAGATTTTAAAAGATTCTTCTAAATATTCTTAAGACCTATTCAAATTTTGAAACCTACTTCAAAGACATATCAATTTATTTTAGAATTAATAAGATTTATAGGATCAAAATTAGTAGAAATAGATCCAAATGATACATAAATGATGTTTGAAAGCATTTTATTAGATTAACTATTATAAATTGCATTGAGAAATCCAAAGAAAAGGGAAGATATTGTTTAACTCTTTTTTGTTTTCACACCTATAAATTGTGTTAATAGAACATAACTATTGAAAAGTATTAAAAGCAAATTATCTACTGATCTTAATGCATTCACACTTATATTAAGTATATTAATACAATCTGACTATCCTAGTCAAGATGAAGAATTGTATAGATTTTTTCTAAATTATGCATTTAATTCATTAGATTCACCATCTCCTCTTACAAGAGCTAATGGTTTAAGAATTATCAATTAAATTTCTAGTTGGGATTATCTTCCAGTTTTATAAAAGATTAATAGAATTCAAAAATTAATGAATGATTCCTGGTGGGAAGTTAGAGCTTAAGGCATGAGTATTTGTGCTGATCTATTATTATAAATTGCTTAAAATTCAAATAAGAGTATGGATGAATAAGAATTTACAATAGATTTTGAGTAATCAAAACAATTATTATTGGATTTAATTTATTAAGTATTTGTTGTTTCTACAACTCCAAATGTAATAAGAATTGGATTAATTTATCTTGCTCCTGTTTTATAAATGTATTCAGAATTGTGTCCTAGATATTTAGAGATTCTATTATCAGTAGATTCTGAAATTAGAATTTCAGTTTTAAATACACAAGAAACATTAATTCAGTAAGTGGTAAATGGCTGCAATTCATTTCGATACAAAATAACTGGAGCACCTATAGTTTGGAATAGTGTTGGTATTGCTTAAGCTATGGATGTATATGTTAAGGAAAAGGATATACAATTTTTTAAACATGAACATTTAGAAATTATATATGGATGTTTACACAAAAAATTATTGGAATCTGATGGTGAAATTTGGCTTAAAATATTTGAGAATACTAAAAGATTATTATTTTTGGCTTTGTCAAATGAAGATTTATGTTCAATAGCTTAAGTGATTTTACAAAAATTCTTTATGTTTTAGACTATTCAATAATAAGTATTAGACAATTCTAATGAAATATTTTAAAGGATGCTTTAATTGATATATCATCCTGATGTTCATTTAAAATGTAAAGAAAACTTATTGGAGTTCTTCACATTTTTATAATAACAAGGAGTAATATTATATAAATATAATTTTAGTTCTAAAATTATTGTTATAATATAATTAAATAATTTTCTGAAAAGAATAAGAATATGTTTTTAAGTAGTAATTTGGTTGAATTTATGAATGGATTAGCTAAAGAAAAAAGAAGGGAAATAATGGGTGATGAAAATTATTGAATTATTATTTTATTTAATTTAATATATAAAGATATTAAATTAATTATTAAATAAATATCATAATTAGACTAAGTTAAAAGAGTAATAAAAATTATAAATTTTATTATTATATTATCAATTTTCCGATTTGTAGATTTATCTTAAATAATATCTTAATAAGTCGGTGTAAATATCTAATTCTTTTAGTATAGCCTCTTTCTCTTTCATATATAAAATCTATTCTCTATCATAATCTTATTGTAATAATAATGCAATTATTTCCATTTTTCTTTTACTATTATCACATTCTTAATTCTCACCATTAAGTATTGTTAATTGATCATCCAAATCAATCTACAAATTTATAATAAATTTACCTTCCTTTCTCCTTCTATATCTATTAACTTCTTTAATATTTCATTTTCCTTTTCCAATTAACCACATAATTAATCAATTTTATTAACAGAATTGATAGAATTTAAAGTAATACTCTATTAATCTTTATCAATTTTTTCTGCAATTTCTTGTGATGTACTAATAATCAAATAACGATTTTTTTCCATAGATTTTTAGGATGAATAAGGCAATGATTATTAATTTTACTTAATTTATAATTATGAACTGTATTCAGATGACTCTACATTAGTTGCATCTCCTTCATCTTAGTATGCTTCCTCTATTAATATATTAATAAAAGTTACATATTAATTTAATAACTTGTGCTTCTTATTCTGTTACTTCTTGATTTTATTGTTCATATAAACTATTATTTTACAGCATTTCCAAAAGACTTCCACCACTACTTTACTATTTACTAATAATTGAATACTGCAAATGATTTTTGTAATTATATGGATAATGTTTTGGCTTCCTTTTAATCCTTAAGTAACTTAATATTATTCACATTTGATTTACATCTATTATAAATATAATAAAATTTACTTTAATTCTTATAGATTTTTACGTCTTTAAACATTTTTATCAATCTTTAATTTATTGGTCTCAATAATTTCAGTTGATTAATTGATAGATTGAGAAATAAATTCATTTTGACTGTTTCTAGATTGGCATTGAGTTTCTTATTCAGCAACCATATCAGTGAAACCACAAATTTAATCATTTTTTTTAGTTGAATACTTTTTCCATGTCATTTCTAATAACTCTAACCTTTTTGTAGTTGCATCTTTGAGATCTTTTACAATCTGGATGGCTTCTTCTTGTTTAAGTTAATCTTAAGCATATGCAATGAATAACAAAAATATCAGAATGATAATCCTCATTAAATTATACTATAAATAATATAAAACGAATTCTTATAATCATAATTATTATTGAGCTGTAAGTTCTTTGAGCATTGGATAAACATTTTTACCATTACTTTACCATTCTTCCACTGCTCTTTATGCCCATGATGTGAATGTTCTGCTACAACATTCTTTTTTTCTTAATATTTCTTCAGCTTCATCTAATTCTTAGAGAATTTATTATTCTCTTAATTTCTATTATAAATATATAAAAATACTTGTTTTTCTTCAATTTAAGTAAGCTAAAAATTTTTAAGTTAAACTCTTCTTTATCTAATTTATTCATTTTCATCATCTTCCATTTTCTTTAATTCTTCAGCTCTTTATTTCCAATATTCTTAGAATTCTTTATCATTTTTTACTCTTTATTCTGAATCTCTAGCTCTAAATTCAGAAGTAATCTTTCTACTTTCATCTATTCTCTTTTTCAATTATATTTGTTTTTCTCTTTTTATTCTTTCTACTTCTTCTGCTTTTATTTCTGCTTCTTAAATCTATTTATTTAATATTCTTTAATGTTCATGTTCAATAGATTCTAATTTAGCTATTTAAGCATCAATCAATCTTTATCTCTATTCTTATTTTTCTTTAAATTTAAGTTCTTCTCTCTTTTTTCTCATTTCCATTATTTTTTCCTTTTTCTCTGCATAAGCTCTTATTCTTTCATCATCCTCTTATTCTTTAATCTTCTAAAGTTACTTTTATTCTTTGATTTCCTCATTACCTTTCTTAACCTCTTCTATATTAGCTAATCTTTTCCTTTTTCTTTCATTTTCAGCTTCTTCTTCATCTTTTATTAATTACTCTGCTTTAGCCTTATTCAATTATCCTTCTATTCTATCATTTTATATTTATTTTATATGATTATTGACCATTTCATCATGTTATTATTTCAATATTTTTCGTTACTCCATTTTCTTTTTCCTCATTTCTTCCTATTTAATTTCTTCTATCTATTATAATCTTGCTACATTCTCTAACACTTCTTCATGATGAGCTTCTTCCTTCATCCTAAGTATAGATTGATTTAACTAATTTACTCCAAAATAGTTTTCTTATATTTATTTAATTCCACTTGTGCATCTCTTTCCTATATAACATCAGTAATCAATAATTTGCTTTGAAATTGTCTAACTCTTGGATTTGCCTCATATATCTAACGATTGGCTTTCTCCAATATTTCTTATTTCACTTATGCTTAATATAATGCTTCTTCTTCTTCTTATCTTCTTCTCTCTTCTTCATCAGCTTTGAATCTTTCAAATCTAGTTTGATCTTTCTTCTTTCTTAAAGCATTAATTGTATTTGGCCATCTCTTTACTCTTTCCTGAGATTTTGCATGTCTTTCTCAGTTAATCATATAATTACAGTTCCATCTTTTGGATTAATCCAAAATTTTCCTATGTTCCAAAGCAATTTTATTGAATTCTTCTTAATTATGATAATGGAACAACTGAACTAATTTTATTATCAAAAGCTCCAACTGTTTATGCTCTTGGTTCTTGGGACATTTTTTATATTATATATTTAAATTATAAACAATATTACTCACATATTTCTCTTAATTCTTTCAATATCTAAATTAACAGCATATTCAAAATTATTGTAATTTGATTCTTCTTATTTGATTAAACTCAATATTTTCATTTGTAAAATCCAATTATTTAAATTATTGACATCAATTTTCAAATCATTTTATTATCTTAATTCAATATATCTTGAATTTATTTTTTTCTTTAATTCTTCATCAATATTCATTTACATTTATTATTATTAATGAACTTAACTAACAAACTCTTCTAAACCTTAATAATTGACTGGAATATTTTCAATGTGATTTTGTGGATTAATTTTAATAGAATCAGAAGTTTATATAAAGCTCTTACCAGTTGAAAGTATAAGAACATTAGTTTATACTGGTACTTCCACCATTGAATATTAAAAATCAATTCCAATTTTAGAATGTTCAATGAATTTTTGAATATTTTAAAGATTTTATAAAGTCTTTCCTGAAATTTAACCCTCCTTCATTAATGTTTCATCTACAACTATTTAAGAATTAATATTAGTAGGAATACAAAGAAGTCCTTGTGATATTGTGTTTTCATCAAAATTTTTTTTGGAAAGAGTTTCAATGTTAGACAGAAATTCATATTCAAGTGGGATGTAAAGTGTAGGGGAATAGATGGATTATATGACTGATTTGAGGTTATCAGCATCATTTTTAGTTAATCCATAAATATTTAATATTTATCTGGCACCTTCAGCATAAGTTTCATATTTAGCAGAAGAGAGAAGATGCAAGGCCAATAGTTCTGAAACTAAAGGGTCTTTGAGTATGAGATTAAGGTTATTGATTAATTATTAATAGAGTTATTATTTGTTGATTTGATTATTGAATGTTGGTTGTATGTATTTAATAACATTGAAGAAGATTTCATCTTCGTATTCATGTTTAAGTGCTAGGATATTGAATTTATTGAATATTTTTGGTTTGATGGAATCATTGAAGTTGGAGTAGAGAGTGACAATTGATTTTGTTGGTTTGAATAGATGGTTGGGATCTAGAATACATGCTGTATATGCTTATTTATCAAAATAGAGAGGTTATCCATTAATGTGGGAATCACAACCTAATGGGTAGATGATGACTTGATTGTTTTAGGAGACAGCTCCTATAAAGACATCCTAATCTAAGACATCAATTATTTGGATAGTCAAGTAGACTAGTTGATCGGATAAATTTTAGGGTTGAAGTGATTCCAAAGTGGATATCGATTGATTTGACAATTGTATTGCAGCAAAGTAATTTCGTATTTCATTCTAAAAATATATTATAAAAAAGGAAAAGTACTTAATCTTTGATTTCAAGGACTCTCTCTTGAGTCATTTGTTAGACATCCAATAAAATTTAATCCATAAATAATAAATAAGAACATAAAATGAAACCATAATAAAAGAAATAATAATAACAATTGCGGGAGAAGGGTTTTGATACTTTTATCTCTGGAGCCAACAAGGATAGAGTTAATTAGAAGAACAAAAATCAATTGAATTTAAAAACCAAGAGTGTTAAGAAATGGAATGATGAAAAGAGTCAATCCTAGAAGATAGGTACTCTTGATCATGATGATTTGGAGGTCTTGAGGAAATCATTAGTGTAAGGTATTGGGCATCATTAATTCAGGTAATGTGCTCAGCAAATCTTAATAGGATTTGCTTGAAAAATTGCAGAAAGACACACCCATCGATCATAGATATGACCCTCATTTTTCACAATTATTAGATAGTGATAATGATGAATTGGATGAACAATAAATTTAAGAAGAAGAAGAAGTAATTAAAAATTTGAATAACTAAGTTGTGTTAATCTGAAGGTGAAGAGAATGATTAAAACTTTTATAAAGATGATTTTGAAAAAACTAAACCACAAATTCAACCAATTGTTCAATAACAATAGCCATAACAAGTAATATAGGTTGTCAATTTACCTGCTACTAAACCAAGGCCCATCAGTGCTATTTCAGAATAACCTTAAATTCAATAGTAACAATAATAGTAATATAAATAACCATCCACTGAAATTAAACCTATTCCTTTAGCTAAACCAGAAATCAAATAATATGCATCCAAACCTCAATTAAGGGCTAATTCTGTCACTAAATAAGAAGATATTAAAAATGATAATCACTCCTTCAATCCTCCTCAAACCTCACAAAGTTAGAAGCCATAAGAAAAAAAGGATAATCTTGAAGAGCTGTTTGAAAAAATTGAAAAGTTATCTAGTAATGAGAAACAAAAGCTAATTCTATTCTTAAATAAGAACACTTTAGATTTAGAAGAGAAGACTGATAGGTCAGAAATACAAAATGAATAAAACTAGTAAAAATTTAAATTAGATATGGCTATCAAATAATAGAAAATGTAAAAAGAGATATAAATTATTGAAAATAAACCCAAGGAATAAGTACCATTGATTACCCCTTAATAAATTACAAATAATTAACCATCTTTATAAATACCCCAAATTGAAAACAAAAAAAGGAATGCAAGTATTAATAATGTCATTCAGATGCAATAAGAATTTGTAAATTAAGAAAAGGCATAAATTAATACTGAAAAAAATTCTGATTTGTTGATTGATAAGAATTGCTAATTAAAAATTAGAATACTTTCCACTTGGGGTAATCCAAGTTTAGTAGGTCTTACTGAAATAGAACTTTATACAACTGATGGTAACAAAGTTTAACTTAAACCATATAATATAAAAATGACCAATGCTTAATCCCTTAAAATGCCTGAAATCCTTATTAATGGTAAATACTTAACCAAAGATGCAGTAAATATGTGGTTAGGAAGCATGCCTGATCCTCCAAAAACTATTGATATTGAAATCTCTTATGATGATGATATTGTTCTTGGAGGAATCAAGATCTTTAATTATAATAAGAGTTTGATTGATAGTGTTAAGGGAGTAAGAGATATGGAAGTATTATGTAGATAGAATGGTAAAGTTATTTCTAAAATTGTGGAAATTAAAAAAGGCACAGGCTTTGAAATTGATGATTATGGAACAGAAATTCAAATTATGGATAATTTCAAATTCCCAACCTTTTAGAATACTCAATCTAAATTCGCATAAAAACTCAGAGGTTAGATTGATTAATCAGATATTATTGAAAAAAAGTAGGAGAAATTAGAGGATTCAAAACCTCCTCCCTCTAGAAAAGGAAAAGGACCTATAGTTGTAGATGTATTTAAAGGGGAACGATTAGATACTGGGAAAACTGATAAAAAAGTTGAATAAACATAATAATAGAATAATAATTAAACAAATCAATAACAAATTATAGAACCCAGAAGAAGGAGGGATATTCCATAACCTACTTAAGATTATCTCGAAGAAACTCTTTAATATTTTAATATAACATAACAAGGTAGATTAAAACCTGTATAAAGACAGGACATAATTGAAGATCCTGTACCTTTACCAAAATATGAAGAAATAGATGCTTTGGATTTTTTTTTCAAAGGTTAATAAAGACCTAATAATATTTAACCTAAATAATAATTGTCTAAATGGGAAACACCAACTTAACAATAAATTCCTTAATAAATTATACAATAACCTAACAGAAATAATTTTAGATAGTAAACATAAGAAAACGCATAACTCATTAAGGATTTGCTGAATTAGCCATTAATTAATTAAGCTCCAGTAAAAAAGGCCAAGAAGTAGGTGTCTTTGCCTAATATACCTTAGGTTAGAATAATCACAATCCACATACATTCCACTTGGGGGGATAAATATTATGTGGGTTTAAATGGAATAGAAATATTCAATGAAGTAGGAAAATAAATTGAGATTTAAGATCCATACAGTTAAGTCAAGGCTGATCCTAGTGATATTAATGTGTTACCAGAATATTTCAATGACCCTAGAACACCTGATAAGTTAGTTGATGGAGTATATTACACTCAATCTGATATGCATGTATGGTTGAGTCCGTTTTAGAGAGGGAAAATCAATAAGATTACTATTGATCTAATTGATAAGAAGAAAATAAGTATGATTAGGATATGGAATTATAATAAGAGTAGAATTCATAGTTTTAGAGGAGCAAAAGATATAAGTTTATATTTTGATAATCAAATTGTATTCAGAGGAGATATAAAGAAAGGATTTGGAAACATGAATTTATAAAGAGTTATTAATTAGAATGAATAACCTTTTGAGTTATTTTTATTCACAAGTGATGATAATATCATTTAGTAAATAGCTAAAAATGATTGGATAAATACTTAGGAATTCTAAACAATATAACATGATTATTAAAATGAAAGACCAAATACTGGTAATACAGATTCAGAAGTGAGACCAACAACATCAGCTAAAGTTACTAATCTTTAAAATGAAAGTAAAATAAAACAATAATTATTTAGTAAAATAAGCTAGATAATAAGAATAAAATTAATAGAGACAAGAAAAACAACAAATTTAAAGAGCATTAATTAATCAAAATTCTAATGGTATAATTTGTAGATATTTATAAATCAAATTATTGAGACCTTGGGCAGATTAACCTTATATTGGATTGACTGGAGTTGATATTTATGGTATTGATTTATATATCTATTTAGGTAAGGAGGGAAAAATATAAGTAAAAAACATTAAATCAGATTATCAAAGTGATGGAGACAAAGGCAACATAAATAGTCTTATTAATGGGATTAATGTAACTACTAATGATATGAATATGTACATTCTTCCCTATCAGCCAGGTAGATGTGTTACTTTAACATTTACATTTGATATTCCTCAATTAATAACCTCAATTAGAATTTGGAATTACAATAAATCTTATGAGGATACTTTCCGTGGTGCTAAATTCATTAGTTTATTAAGTGATTAGGGAATAATCTCTAATTATGTTGGATTGAAAAGAGCTCCTGGTTGTGAAATTTATGATTATGCTTAAACCATAACTATACCTTGCAAAGATTATATTTTTGAAGAAACCATTCAAGTCTAAAAATAATTAAGATGTGAATATGAAATCAATAATTTAATGGTTGGATATGAATTAAAGATATAATTGATAACTACTTTTGGAGATATTCATTATATTGGATTAAATGGTTTAGAAATTCTAGATTATAAAGGCAGATAGATTCAAGGCAATATTGGAGCAGAACCATCATCTGTTAGAACTCTTTAATCTATGAGAGGAGACAAAAGAATAGTAGAAAATCTCTTAGATGGAATTAATGAAACTCATAATGATATTCATATGTGGTTAGCTCCATTCACTAATAGATGTTTTGATCATTCTTTAGATCCTCAAATTAATACTCTTTATTTTGGTTCTGAATAACCTTTTGCTCTTGGTTGCATTATCTTTTGGAATTACACTAAAACTCCTTTAAGAGGTGTACATGAAATTGCTATCAGTCTTGATGATTATATTATCTATAGAGTATAATTTATTATCTAAATTTAGGGGTATCTAAAATAGGCAGGTAATGATGGAAACTAAACTGTTGTTTTATTTTATAGAGATATGCAGTTGATGGAAAGATTCAGTGGAAAATATTATACAGAATTTGGTCAAAAATAAACTGCTGGTTATAAAAATGAAGAGAAAGTATTATTTTCTTTATTTTATTTTCTAGGGTACTAGATAAGTTTAAAGTTATGCTCTTTTAGAAAGACCAATAACTAGAGTCAAAGGTAGTAATTGATTTTAATATATTTTATACAAAATTTATTATATTCTTTTATGAATTAGAAGCATTGTCCATTTTGTTAAAAAATTAAAGGTACTTCCAACGTTAAACATTTCTACTCATAAATAATAAATAGTGTATCAATAATTAAACAATGAACAGGCATTGTACACTAAATATTCATCAAGAAAATCCAAAAACTTTGAAGACTTCTTTGCTAGAAAACCAGTAAAATGGGTTATTGATTTTAAAGATCATTTGTACTTACAAGATGATGATACATACTTGAAAAAGTATATATATTAATTATATTAAGATTCTATCCAAGTAATTAATAGCCCCATAAAATTAAAGCTTTGTTGGAATACTATAGATTTCATAAGAATCTGCCTCGACTCTTTTTTGGAGTTTTAGCAGATAAAGTTATATCATTTTTTGAGAAAAAAAAGTATAACTATTTATTAACAACTATTAAATAGAAAGTATGAATATAGAAGAATTAAAAAAATGCTAGGAATTCCTTATGATTAATCTAATTAGAGTACATGTACAAAAATATTCGCATAAAAACATTAGAATATGAAAAGTTGAAAGAAGACATATAAGTTTTAAATAGTTTAAGTAAATTTACTGAAAATTCCACTATATCTATATTAAATGAGTTCTTTAAAATTTAACCTAATGATTATTAGT